AAGTTCTAAAACAAAAACAGCTTGTGAAGAAATTTATTTCAATCCTAATACCTATGAATATAATGATCAAGAATCACCGTTAACTAATGAGAGTGAAGAGTGTTTTAGATGGGCAAACATAGGTCACAACCAGGATGAAGAAACTGATTATGAGGAAGATACACAAGAAAATGTAAATGAAAGAGAAGACACAGATGAAGAGGTCTTAAACAAAGAAAACTTGAAGGAAAATACTAAAGAAACACAGATATACTATGGAGAAAAAGTCACAGAACATCAGATGTGGGAAACTGGTGAATTATGTTTAGATGTTGAGTCTGGATCCATTGACCTGGATGACATGGAAATGTATAAGAGTCATGAAGATGACTGTATGTCCCAACTTCACAGTCTTGAAAGTGTTGAAAAAATGAAACATAGACCTCAAAGCCCTGGAGATTTTGATGAATTATCTGTGAGTAGAGAGATGATGGGAGGACAGAAGAAAACCATTAACTCTTTCAAAAAACATTCAAAAATGGGAGATATGGATGATGTATATATTATTAAGAATGAAGGGGCTTTAGATAGAACTGAAGAGTATGAAAAGTTGAGAAAAAATAAGGATGACCAAATTCTGTTGCATAACATTACATCTCAACATGAAGAATTAAGCACTGAATGGATGCCAAGTGAAGGTGCAGTATATGGTCAGGAGACCTGTGAAACTTACATGAATGAGAACTTTATAAAATCTGTAAACAAATCAAGTGATATTTCGGAATTTGAAAGAGTAGTATTTAGTGATACTTTTTCAGAAAGGAATAACATGAATTTAGTGGAAGATACAATAGCAGGCTCAGGTGATGTGTTCACAAAGACATATTCAACAACTTTAATTGAGGAAAAACTCAGATATTCAGAAGAGAAGCTGAAATTCCTCACAGGAATGCTTCACCAGATTCAAGAATCTGAACCATTTAAGAAGGATGATACTGAAGTACTGAATGTCTCTGACAGTAAATATAATGAAGGTAATACAGAGGAAGAGCTACAACCTGGTCAGATGAATTATACACTCCTTGTAAATTCATCTTCTGATTCAGAGATAGAAGAAATAATCAATGCCTGCAAAGGGGACATGAACAAGGAATTGGCTTATCAGCAACCAGATTTAAGAACTGATGAAACATGGAGGAGGAGTGATATAATTGAGATTGCAGAAGCAAACCCAATGTTCATTATTGATAATGACCCTTTTGATAAAGATCAAACTTCTGGCACAGAAATACCTCAGTTAACGGAAAACCCCACACATACGGAACCAACCAGTGAAGTTCTGGAATACCCTTTGCCACCACCTGCTGTGTTTACTAAAGCAGATGACTTAACAGTGTGTGACACTACCATACTAACCAGCTACCAGAAAACATCTTACACAAGCAGGGGACACACCACAAGGGGAGACTCCATGATTAAATCTTCTGTCACTTCTGGCCAACCTCAGTGGACCAGGTCTCTGCCATCCTACCCTGTGTATGGCACGTATTATGTGGTAAGACCCACACATGTTTCTATTGGTGGATCCTGTGCTGGAAAGTGCTGCTGCCGATGCTACGCTAACCAACATCTTTCATTTATGTGGGATTATTATCGGGGCTTATTACTGGACTGAAGCTAAATGTGACTTGTTTAACAAAAGGGACTATTACTCTTCCATGTCCTCATTACATGATTCAAAACAGATATTTCTTTTTTGAAAGACTAGTGATATCACTTCACCTGTCTCTTCTCAAAAAGATGCTGCCATAGCAAATAATAATTTATGCTTTATGACCATCTAGAAGATATAACTAGCTGGAGGACATGAATAATATTGCATAGTATACACAGTTAAAGAATAATTCCTTAATAATGTTTTATAATTAAAATAGGAATTGGACAAGGAAGAGGACTAGTATGGCAACTGTCTACATGGGAAACTTAACTAATTTGCATGGAAAAAAGTTTTCTGAAAAAAGAATGAATGAGCATTTGTGGCATTTGCAAAGATGTGAAGTTAACCATGCTTTCTGGTTAAAAGGGAAAAAGAAAGGAAATATATTTTTTGTATTTTTATTCTTTCTTTCTTTCTCTTTTTCTGTCTTTCTTTATCAGTTGGTATCTCTCTGTCACTTTCTCTTTCTTTTTCTCTCTCTCTCTCTCTCTCTCTCTCTCTCTCTTCCTCTCTCTCTCTCTCTCTCTCTCTCTCTCTCTCTCTCTCTCTCTCTCTCTCTCTCTCTCTCTTCTCTCCTCTCTCTCTTCTCTGTCTGTCTGTCTGTCTCTCTCTCTCCTCTCTCTCTCTCTCTCTCTGTCTGTCTGTCGTCTCTCTCTGTCTGTCTGTCTGTCTGTCTCTCTCTGTCTGTCTGTCTGTCTGTCTCTCTCTGTCTGTCTGTCTGTCTCCTTCTCTTCTGTCTGTCTGTCTCTCTCTCTCTATCTGTATCTCTCTCTCTCTCTCTCCTCTCTCTCGCTCTCTCTCCTC